GGGTGGTGTTTTGGTTTGATTTTTAACTTATTTTATTTTTTTCACATACTTAAGTGATAATGTTCCAAAGAAAGTAAGTTTTAATAATACTAAGAAGAACCCAACACTTCAGCAGTGGCTGTGACCAGGCTGGACCCCATCACATCACATGCAAACACTAAGTCAGAGGGGTTGCTGATCCCTGCTACAGCCAGGCCAGCTGCACTCTCCCCTCTGTTGCCAAGTGCTTGCTGCAATTTAGCTAAAATCTACTGTTCATTTTCTCTTGCAAGCTCTTCTGAGCATTAAAAACAAATCAAAATATGCCCCTTCAGGTCCATTTCTTTCCCCACTCAGCTAAGCAGTTAAATACATGCTGATTGCAGCAGGGGCAGAATCTATCCCTTGTTAAGTGGAATTACAGTCCCTCATTGTTATATTGGAAGTAGAAACCCACAGAGTAATCCTACCTCATCTATGTCTGGTCCATTAAGGAAACGGCATGGAAGAGGATTATGAAGCATTCCAACATTGTTAACTAATCAAAGGAAACATAATGATAAGAACTAAATCTAGACAAAGTGCATATTTCAGATAATTAAACAAATGGCTTCTCCTTGAGACTCAGAAGCTTTTGAGCTCTATGTGAGGAGAAATGTTGTTTAGCATCTAGTCTTGTTCTCACTGAAGTCATTGGTACTAATCGGTACTGACTTCAGGGGACAGAAAAACAGTCTGTTGCTACAGTCTGGGGTTTTGTTTGTTTGTTTGTGTTTTGTTGTTGTTGTTTCATTTGTTTCACTATTAAAATAATTATTTTCTTTTAAAAAAAACCTCAAGAACTTCCCCAAAAAACACGTTTCCATTGTTACTGTGTGGATCGTACCAATTAGTGTTAGCCACAGGCTCATTTCAGACTGAATACAAGAACTGCACACAGCTGTAAAGCAACCAATAGCAAAAATTAATTCCTTGAGGCCAAACAGGGAAGAAGTCACCCCACAAGCTGGACGCTGCTTATAACGTGGCAGAAGAGGTTTCACAGTAAAGAAGCCACTGTACAGAGAAAGAGAAAGCCTTTGGAGAATCTTAATTCACTTTTAAAACTTCTTCATGATAACTAATACTCAAATGCATTAGGCAGCTGTATTCTTGGTTTTATATGTTGGCTAACAAGTTGTTATGACACATCATTTATACAATTTTCTGTTTAATACACTGAAGTCATAAAATACTTTCCAATTAACAGACTTTAATGACTCACCCAGAACACCAATATCCAAACCTTGAAGACCTTTTTCAATGTTCTCATATACTGAATTCTTGGTGAAGTCAGCTTGGATAACCTTCACCTTTTGACCTGTGGTCTGCTCTGTAATTAAGAAAAAAAAAAATAGAAAACCCCTTTGCATCTAACCAGAGAGACGGAGACCTGTAATTGAGCAATGAGAGAAACAACCAGATGTCTCATTTAGTAATGTCTGCTGTACAGTAAGTAATTGTTTCAATTTTCTTGCTTTAAGAAAGATCAAAACACAAATAAAACACTGTCACTGTATCCGCTTGTTTTCAAGGAAATGGCCTGGCAAATATAGGACGAATTTGAAAATCAATTAAATCAATGGAAGTTCCTTCACAGAATCTAAACACCATTTGGTCCTCCAGTAAGAAAAATACCCCAGAAATAAACAACACAGGACTTCTTCCCGTGGTTATCATAATATTTATAAGTGAACACTGTCAGCATACATTAGACAAGTGAATCTGGGTGCCAGATCCTCCACATAAGCACAGTTTTTCAGAATTGTTCTAAAGTGTTTTCATTTATAAGATGAATATTTTAACAAGCAAAGCTTATCTTTTCCTGTAGGAGGAAAGGAAAACAGGGCTGGATGTGATGCAGTATTTTCTGCATTATTTTCAAACAATTCCTCTCCTATTTTGACATTTGCATTCCTGTAGATTTAACCTTTCCCAGGATTTTGCAGGACTAAAAGATATTTAAGGGAGGGTATAGCTTAAATTTTACAAGGTCAATTTACACAGAAGGCAAAGGGAAATGTGTATGATTTTTCCAGTGCCATTGCCACACAGCAGTGGAGCCCAGCTGTACATTACCATTTTTCTCAGCTGTTGATTTATTGCTGTTCATATTTTCAATGAAGTTTCATGAGGAAAAGAGGTAGGGGCTCATATTTACTCATTTTGAAGGCAAGGTTCTCCTTTAAAGGGGCCCAGTAAAGCCTCTTCTAACTAGATGTTCACATTGTAAATTCTTGTTACTAAACCTGCTTTCAAGTTTTATGGGCAACCTGAAATCCAGATGAAGTTGAAAAAGTGACAAGCAAAGCTTGGAAATGTCAGTAGACGATCAAGACTGGAGACTTGCTGCAAGTGGCGGGAATTCAGGTGCACATGGACGGCAGAAAATCTGCTTTCAGTCCTGTTTGGAAAATTGTCTGCTTGTTTGGAGCCTGATTTCACCATATAGGTGACAGGAAGCGTTGCCTTGAATAGGAATGAGACTTGCTTATTTCATAGAATCATAGAATAGATTGGGTTGGAAAAGACCTCCAAGATCATCAAGTCCAACCCCTGATCCAACTCCAATTACTATATCATGGCACTAAGGGCCACGTCCAATCTCTTTTTAAAAACCCCCAGGGATGGTGAATCCACCACCTCTCTGGGCAGGCCGTTCCAGTGCCTGATTACCCTCTCTGTAAAGAATTTCTTCCTAACATCTAACCTAAACCTCCCCTGGCGGAGCTTGAGCCCATGCCCCCTTGTCCTATTGTTGGTTGCCTGGGAGAAGAGACCAACCCCCACCTGGCTATAACCTCCCTTCAGGTAGTTGAAGAGAGTGATGAGGTCACCTCTAAGCCTTCTCTTCTCCAGACTAAACAACCCCAGCTCCCTCAGCCTCTCCTCATAGGACTTGTGCTCAAGTCCCTTCACCAGCCTTGTTGCTCTTCTCTGGACCCGCTCCAGCACCTCAATGTCCTTCCTGAACTGAGGGGCCCAGAGCTGAACACAGTACTCAAGGTGTGGCCTCACCAACGCAGAGTACAGGGGAAGGATCACTTCCCTGCTCCTGCTGGCCACACTGTTCTTGATGCAGGCCAGGATGCCGTTGGCCTTCTTGGCCACCTGGGCACACTGCTGGCTCATTTCTACCCAGAAATCTTGCCTCATCCCTTGTGTACATTCAGAATTTAGGAAGAGGCCTTGCAACAGCTGCTGCAGGAGAGCAAGGCTGGCAAAAGCTGGCTTTGGGTCCCGCAGGCCAGTTTGCAACAAAACAGGGCCTGTGTTGGAGGGTGAGAGGATGTTGGTTGTTCCCTCCCGGTTGTTCCCTCCTTGCCCCTTGCTACACTGCAAGTCTTGACGACTTTACACTACCCAAGTAACACAAGTGGTCTGAGGAAATGGCAGATGCTCTGACTCCAGCTGGGCTGGAGAAGAAGCACGGGCCGTGTCTTGTGTGCCATTTTAGAGGACATCTGTCTCCATGACAGAAGAAAGGAGGAAGGAGTGCCCTTTTTCTTGCCCTCTTTCCAAGCTGCAGTTGTGCATATGAAAGGGACTAAACACCCTTTGAACTTTCAACCTATAAAAGCAACTCTAGTGGCAAATGGACCCCTGGTGGTCCCCGGCTGGAGGAATGGTGCAACTATAAAGAAAAGGACATTGTGAGTGTAAATTCAGCGAAGGGAAAGAACAGCGCAACAGCTGGAGCAGACACCTACAGTGACCTTCTGATTGAAGAGTTCTATAAACAAAACGAGATGGTCTTAAAAGATGCAGTGATGTTGTGGCCATCTTTTTTGTGGGCAATGAGAAGGGCAGCCAAAACTAGAGCAACATAAAAACGAGGATCAAACAAACCATTTGGACTTTCTCTGCATCCCCTTGTCTGTACAGAACTGTACTCCTGCAACCAGCACCATCAGCCAACAAATGAATACTCCAGATGGCTTTCCTCTGTCTCATTTAAGAATAAAACAATACATTAAAAAACAATAAAGCTATCATGCTCACAAATGAATTATCTAGGGACAGCTTTTCAGAAAATGATAACAATTCTGCAAAGGAGAGAGCCAAAAAAATAATTTCCAATGTTTCTTCTGTCTCTCCCTCTCTGTGACAAGGATTTATGACAGTCTTTGAAGACACAAGCCATTCCAACTCTTTTAAAAAGTCCTAAGTATGCCAGAAGCAAAAAGCCTAGGTTTTCAAACATCAGGACAGGTTATTGTCTTTTTGAAAAATCAGGAGAAAACTAATTAAAGGAAAATTAAAATCTTGAACTGGGTTGTTTAATCTGATGTGTTATAAAATGTGTGTGTATAAAATTAAGAAGGATACATGGAACTCCTTCTGACCTCAGATTGCTTGGGAATCCCACTTGTCAGATAGGATAATGTGCTGCCTTTTGAAATTTACCAAGAGGAGAAAAAATCAGCATGAAGCATGAAGTTGGCTAGGATATGCAGTCTGATAGAAACTCTTCTTTTCTGCTTAGAGAGTTATTAAGGTCTTCTGAAAACCTGGGGCAGCAAAATGAATGCCTGAGTGACACAAGAACTGATCTTGGTAGAAAGAGGAGACCCTTTTGAGGTACTAGAGCAAAATTTTACTACAGAGAAGCAGTCAGGCTAAGATCACATTCATATTCAGTGGAAATTTGCAAAGAGAAGAGCAAACTGAGAAGTTATTTTAACAACAGAAAGTGGTTTAAAAAAGATTTAAGACTGGGGAGAAAGATAAAAATTTCTCTTAGATTATAAACTGCAAGTTCTGGCTACATTTCAAAAGTCTTTTGGAGAAATGAATCTCCTCAGAAATGTAAGATAAGTCAGTTTCAGAAATAACAGGAAAACAGAGAAGAAAGAAAAAGAGTGAATGTAAAAGCAGAACCACAAAAGATTGCAGAAGATACCAGGGAACAGAAATTCTGTGAACAAAGAACCATGGGAATTGCTATTATTTACCAGAGCACTCAACATCAGTCAAGGCCCTGAAGTGCTCTGTTATGTAGTAGTGTATATTGGAAAAACAGCCCTCAGCAATAATGTTTTACCTCAAGTGATCAGCAAGACACGCCAGAGATTTTTAACAGCCTTTGAGGATGAAGGAAGGGTGTGCCAAGTGAGTTGTTTTATGCTAGTCAGTGATCTCAGCTTGTTACCTGCTTAGCTCTCAGAGCTATCTCTGGAAGGACAAGGGAAGGAGGACACAGTAGACCAGACTGGAAACTGAACCTGCAGCAGGGGGAGACAGCTATATGAATTAGCACCTTTAGAAGTCTTAGTGGGAGCAAGACACATTTGATTCTTGACAATTCTGTGGGGTGATTTTTATGTTCACTGCTTTTTTCTATATTAACGGGCATGATTTCACCAAACCTGAATTCACAAACTGCATGATCAGCTAGTCTAAACTGGTGTAGCTGTATTTTCTGCTACTTTCCGAGGACCATTTGTCTTATCTTTCCTTAAATAGAAATTTGTTTCTTCTAAAAAAAAACAACCTAAAACCAAAACAACTAAAACCCCAAAACCCCCACTCTTGTTGTGAATAACTTCTGTGTCTTACAGAAGTGGCTTTTGTTTGTTTGACAGTACCAGCTAAACAGTACAGACTCTGGTCATATAAATAGATCCTAAACAACTTTTCAATCAGGACCCTGGAGGACAGCTTGCTTAGGAAGTGTAGGCAGAAGAAATAAAAAAGGACTGCAGTTAGCAGCATTCCATCATTTCTAATATCCTGTTTTTTTTGTTTGATCAATGTTTCACAGCCACAATACTAAGTGCATTAAATGAGCAGTACACCTAGGGTAATGGCCCTCTCTAACTGCCCTCCACAAGACTTACTTTGTTATCTTTTATCTCATTCTAAAAGAGATGTCTAACTTTGCTGTCCAAGTTAGTGGAAATCTAGCTTTCAATTCCAGTGGTTCTGTAGAGAAATGTTTTTCTTATGGTGGATATCTGCCTGCTACAGCTCTGGGAGCTGTTCCCAGGCACGCACATCTGTGGCCCATGGGTCTGTTCAAAAGCTGAACACTGAAGTCTGAGGAATTATCCACACCTTAGACTCCTTCTGTTTACATTATTCAGCATCCAAACTGAATGTGACAGTATGACTAGGCAAATAGTACTGTTAGGTTGAAAAGGGAGGCAAGTCTTTTAATTATGGTGTCCAACTGATTGGAAAAAGATACATGGTGTAGTTGTTAAGAAAAAGGAAACAAGAGTAATGTGTCTAGTCCTACAACAAATTTACACAGCCAACAATAAATTTTGTCTCTATCTCTCTGTGCCTTAATCTCCTCGCATGCTAGTTGAGGATAAGGATAACCGCTTGGAGCAAGACACTGCTTGTTTAAGCAGTTTAGAAAGAAAAAGTCACTGAAAATTAAAAAATTTAGAAAACAGTAAAACTATTTGGTTTAAGTTTCTGCTTCTTTTTTAGTTTCTATTGTTTGTTTACTCACATAAAATCCCAGTAAATTTAACTTTCCTTTCTTCCTTAGATTAATTACAGTAAAGCCTGAGTTTGAGAATTGGAATCAGTGGAATATTTCCAAAGCTTTAACATAAGCCAACATCCAGAGCTCCCTGCTGATTTTAGAGGCCTTCAGATGAGATACTCTGTGCTTTTCATCATCCTGTGCAAACTGGTGTAAGGAACCTGCTTTGGCAGCGGGGTTGGACTAGATGCTCTCCTGAGGTCCCTTCCAACCCCTATGATTCTGTGATTCTGTGATTATATCTTCCTCTCCTTCCTTCCTTTTTTGCCATCTACTTGTTGTCATGTACTCATTTTCAACCTGACGCAATAAGTAGCACATGAGTCACTCTGGGCTTCAGCCAAAACCCACTGAAAACAATAGAAAGACTTCACTGGGATTTGCCACCAATTTCATCAAGCTTTGGGAAACCTCTTTATGCCCACAACCCAGCTGAAGATGGCATGGAGACTTGATGGGTGTATGAGGAGCTCCTGAGCTTACACCATCCACCTCCCCACCCCTGGGACTGCACAGGTAGTGCTGCTGCAGCCAGGGAAGCTTCCTCACATGTGAAAAGTCACGGGTCACTTTTGCACAAGGTATAGGAGTGTTTGTAGGCTATCTCAGCAGTACCATTCAGGACAGGACAAGTCCTTCTTTACCTCTGGCTACACAACTCAGAACAGTACAGCCTCAATTAGGAAGGTGTCCCATGGATGGCCTTATAATAAATCAAAGTGCAAAGGAATTTACAGTATGTTGTCTTTATGGGTTCCACCACTTCTTTTTCTTTACTTAGCTATGTTAGTCTCGGTCATCTTACTGTTTTCATTCTTTCCTTCTGATTATAATTTACAATGCAGAGAAACTATAAAAACTTTTTAGCCTTTTTTTCCCCCAGGTTTCTATAATTTTAATTCTTTAACATTTAGCTGCAAAGAAATGCAACAATGACACCAGAGCTGGCCTAATTCCCGCAGAAGTTAATTTTTAATGGTTGTTTAGTTAAGAGGACCTAGTGTAGGCCATAGTCACATTGGTCTCATAGATATGGCTGCTTATAGAGACTATTAAGGGAGCTGGTGCTTTTCTCCTCTGACCCCTCTTGCTTTCCAATGGAAACCAAGTCTCTCCCTGGAAAAAAAGGGAGGGAAATTGGATAGAAAATTTCAGAGTCCAATTCTTGATTTTGGTAGCTGAAGGTTTGGAAGTTACAGGCTTTTTCACCTGCTTGAAGTCTGCAACATCCCCAAAAGATCTCTCTGCAGACAAGGATCCTGGACCTGATACTCTGTTGGAGCCAGCTGCCAAGCCTGCTTAAAGGCAAGTCTTTCTGACAGAGGTGTAGTCTTGGAGGGACACATGCTTAACACAGGAACTCCTGAGTCAAGGAATCTGGTGGATAGAATCCATTAACAGAAAAGGAGAGAATGGGAAGAATAATTTTGATTACAACAATCTTTAAAGTTAACGGAGCATATAAACTCATTTGACTCCTAAAGAAATCAGATCGCTCTTAACATATTTAAACAACCCATTCCCCACAGTAAATGGCTAAATAACTTTGAAGAAAAGAAAGGGAACATAAATTCTAAAGATGCTATTTACTTCCTTCCTCAAAGGCCAAATATAACTTGAAAACCTCAAAAAAAGGTACATTGATTTCATTTTTACTCCTTTCTATGTTCCAGGAACTAGTCTAAAGGTAATCTTTCCGTTCCAAGCATCAACTCTTTCATAGGGTCCTCTGACAATGCTAGTGTTGTATCGCCGTATCACCTTTCCCTGTATTTACAGATATTAACGGTAGCTGAAGCCAGTAAAGAACCCACACTCACTTCTTTTTTCACTTTTTTAATCCAACCTACTGCACTGTTTGAATTGTAGCATGTATTTTTACAGAGATCCGTGACCAGAAGGGTTCAAGCAACATAGTAATACCAGAAATTATTTGTAGTATTGGAGCAATACCTGGGGTTATATCTGTAGCAATATCTAGGGCCCTACTGTACTAGATATGAGACTGAGGAAGTAGACCTCCAGATCTCTGTAAAGCCAGATCTATGAAACAGGAAGATAATTTTGAGACAAACACTTACCAACTTCAGAGGCTACTCGCTGCAGTTTTTCAAGAGTTCTGCTTATCATAACTATATTTAAACCACGTTTTGCCAGCTACAAGAGAGGAATATAGAAGTTGTTAGAAAACAGTAAGGTGACAAGAATCTTTACAATTTTTCCAGTTTTGCTATAAAAACAATTATGGATTTTATAAAATTGCTTTCATTCACCTGCCACCTGCTTAATGGGAAAACAACAGATATTAAAACCAGGACAAACAATATTCAGGCTTCTAATAATCTTTCAAAACATCTCCTTCACTGTATAATCTTGGATGCTTACAAGAAAAATATACTGAGTAACAATCAAACCCCAACAATATGAACAAAAACAAATAATCTCAGCCAATTTCAAATGAATGAAAGTTCGCAGGGAGTGAAAGCAACATGACATTTCCCAGAAACACATTTTTATTTTGACTTGGATTTGGGAGGCCAAATATGTTGATAACTTCCTAGTCATTTTACAACATCACCTTCCACCCTCACATTTTTTTATCCTTAGGAAGTAGACTAAGTATATTGAATTGGAGGCTCAAGAGTTTGAAAGGATTTGGAATTTATTCATATTTTTTAAGAGAAGTAAAATCTCATGCAGGTCAAATGGACAATTTTAAGTGTTTTTTTCATTAGATGCAAACTTAAAAAAAAAAAAACAAAGCCCACAAATAATGCGGAAAAAGGTGAAGTCCATGCATACAAATTCAAAATACAGACACACAAATACACATCCATAAAGATGTTGGCAAGAGCTGACATTTATAGCTGCAAATGCTATCTAACACAGCAGTCCATTTATAGTCAGCTTGGTATTACCAGGTGCACAACAAGTGCAGAACCAATGCAGAACACATAGAAAATGTTTTTCTCCTGTTTTCCTGAGGCCTCCCATTCCCGTCAGTTAAAGAGTTTTAGGCAAAGCTTGAGAGAAATATGGCCCTAGCCTGTGAAACTAAGTTATTAAAGAAAGGAAAGATAAAGGTAACCCTGAAAATAGAAAAATGCCCCATACGAGTAAGGAGAAAGAGAACTAAAATAGTCAGCACAAAAGACAAAGCCAATGTCATCTAAAAGTACCAGGTTTGCTTAGAAGTAACTGGTGAAGCTCGCACACTGAATGCCCTTCTTTTCCATAGCTGACTCCCTGCAATACTTTCTCCTTAAACCTATTTGAGAGAAGGAGTTTGTCCTGTTGGTGTCTTCTGAAACAATGCAGAGAATGTTAAGGAATAAGGACCTTTGTTCAAAAATTTGCTACATTGAGAGTACGAGGGGCAGACAGTTTATTAAATATATCAGCCACAACCATTTGCGTTTTCAGCAGAAGGACCGTGCTCACAACTCTGTGCTTCTGGAGACTCTCTCACATAACTGATGGGCGCTCCAAAGAGACCTGCACAGACTTAGATACTTGGGAGTTTTGAAAGCTTACTTTAAGGGCTCCATTTTAAGATCTTGGGAAGAGAATTCTAATTGCCTCCATACAGGCAGATTACCCTTTGTCCACAATGAGCTTGACCCAAGACATTTCCAATCAAAGACACAGTCTCTGTTTCCATGATCACTTGATCCTTTCTGCCATTTGCAAGCGTTCACATGGAAACTATTTTAATTTTTGCACCTTCACACCCAAAACCAGATATCAGCCATGTCATACACAGAATAAAAGCAAAGTTCTGCTTCACTGGGCTTCTCAACATGATCTTAGCCATGTGTCTGTATTTCATCTGGTAGAAAAATCCCTCCTAAAGCCTAAGTAAAAAATGATTCCTATTGCTAAGATTGCACTGTATTTCAGCTAAAAGCACATGTTTGTGGCAATCTTATAAAATTCTCAGCTGTCAGGTTAGAAGAGTCTCCCTTGCTGCTAACTAACCAGAAGCGTAAGCCTGTAGCAACCATTTCTCAAGGTAAAAGAGGCTACACACCTAACTATTCTTTTTTTGCTTCCTCACCCACACAGAAAACGTGTGTCCTTTTCAGAAATAGGTTTTGTAGGACATTGTAACTACTACGAGGTTCAAATGCACCCTCAAGCAAACAAAAAGAACTGTGCTTACAAAAGAATCTCCTGCCCATCCACAGCAAAAGTTAAATCAGTTTTAACACTATGGCATTTCAAATAAACAACTTGTAGTGTAGATGTCTTTAGCACAAAGCATTTTTCCTAAAATAAAAAGACTTTGATGTTAGAGGATGGTATTTCCCCTCACAATTAAGAATAAGCCCTGGCACCCAGCAGTGTAATCTGAAGCTGCTTGTGTTAGGAAATCCTGACTCCCAGTGGCAAAGGGCTAAAATGCTCCCGAACCTCTCAGACTGATAAAATGTAAGGAAGACCATTATTACAGACTCCATCCATCACAAATTATGAAAACTTAGCATTTAAAAATGGGGCTAATAATGAAGAAAGATCAAGGAGGATCTGCACTGTGGAATCTCATAAACTCGTTGTTAAAAAGTTCAAACCAACACTAAATTAGTATAAAGTCAGTCTGCTTTTTCTAGCACATCTTCGCAGCTCAGTTTGAGGTGAATTTTTAAATAATAAAGCTCCATGAAAGGCAAGACACAGGTGTTAGATTCCAACCACGCAAGTAACTACTACAGTTACAGACAAACTGGTTATGCTTTACATGGATCATTAGATACAATAATTTTAAATCCCTAATAATGCTTTTTGGAATCCATAGCTGCCTACCATGAATTTCTACCTATTAAAAAACATATTCTTCTCTCTTCTCCAGGATTGTGATCATACGGCCTCAGTGCTTCACCTCTTTTCTTTCCTTGCCTGGGGTTCAGACCTGTAAGGTCTCTATGATTCAAATCTTTCAACCCGTTTTGGTCTAGCAGACCAGGACTGAGATAACTGGGCAGAAGGATTCTGCAAGCTTTCTGCTAGCTCTGCACCTGTACGACACAAGCAGAATAGCACTATTTCCAGGAATAAATCCAAGACCAAGTGGAGAAATTAGACTACATATGCAACTGAAGCAGGAAAACTTGGACTATATTTAGCTTGTATTATACTGCTGGTAACACTACATATAGTTTCTGGAAATGAAACAAAGGTTTAAGATTTGAGAAACTGTTATATTAATAAATGAATGCAGTGCCTGTCTCAAAATGGTCTGCTAAAACATTGATTTAGACAATCAATTTAGACTGGCCTGACTTGTAAGAGAGTTATGAACTATTCACAATAACAAAAATAGCGACCATGTGAGCCACCAACTTCCTGCTTGTGCCCTGACATCAGATGAGAAGTATGCAGAGGCTAAACCATAAGTCTCAGACTACGGCATGGCCTCATCCATAAACCCAGTACGTTTGAGTTGCTAAGCCAGTAACAGATACTAAGCACAACTGTAGTTATTATACCAATAAAACAGAACAAACAAGACTGTACCAGTACCTAAGATGCTAACAGATGTGTAGAGATGTGACATCCTAGCAGCACGCTCAAAGCTGACTTATTTTTGTTCCTTATTAGAAGTCTAGTGAGCCTAAGCCCTATTAGCCCAAGAACTACTGGGTCAAATCTAACAGAAGCCTGGCTTTTGATTAAGTATAGCAAACGAGATCCAAAATCCCAGTACTCTGACAACACAGCAGTCAGTTAAAAGGTCGGAGTCTTTACGCTCAAGAAGGCCAGTTGTTCAAAATCCCCCCGATGTGCTAGAAATACAGACAGGGAAGCCTGGACTTTCATGCAGAAGGTGATAAGCTCAAGTTGTGTATGGGTTTGCCTCTCAACACAAGCTCAGAAAACAAAAGGGACAATAATTTGCTCTGACAAATCTGTGTCCTGGCATCAACCAAGTAGTATTCTGAGATCTCACAGCTGCCAGGTTCTTCACACAGCCTCAGTCAGCTCTTGAGCTTAATAGACTTTGCGGAGACCTGCATTTAGCCATAAACCTTGGAAACGAGGGTACTGAACTAGTAAATATTGTAATTTTGCCCTGGACCTCAGTCTGCTAGGTTTTTCCCAATGAACCACTGGCTGCAATTTCCACAGAAAACAACAAACAGGAAAAGCCACATCAAACTAGTCTTCCAAAACACAAGGAAGGCTAGTGCTCTCCTTAGTCTCCTGTGCTATATACTACCAACAAGCGTGGATCTCTTACAGTAGTGTGTGATTCGTTAGCCCATGCCTGAGCTCAGGATGTCAGAAATTCATCACCTGATGTGAGAACTCAAACTCTAGAAGAACAGGCACTGTGGCCATCAAACAAGGCTTGTCTTCACATCAGCCTCTAGCACCAGAGAGACCTATGCCAGAAGAACATGAGAGAATTTTGCACCCTACATCAGACCAGCAAGGCAGTAGTGCCGAGCCAGAAACTCCAAAGGTACACAGACATTCATAGAATCATAGAATCATAGAATGGTTTGGAGTGGAAGGGACGTTAAAGATCATCTAGTTCCAATCCCCCCGCCTTCAGCAGGGACACCCTCCACTAGATCAGGTTGCTCAAAGCCTCATCCAGCCTGGTCTTAAACACTTCCAGGGAGGGGGCATCCACAACTTCCTTGGGCAACCTGTTCCAGTGTCTGACCACCCTTACAGTAAAGAACTTCTTCCTAATATCTAATCTAAACCTCCTCTCTTTCAGTTTAAACCCATTTCCCCTTGTCTTGTCATTAGTAGCCCTTATGAAAAGTCCCTCCCCAGCTTTCTTGTAGGCCCCCTTCAGGTATTGGAAGGCCGCTATAAGATCTCCCCAGAGCCTTCTCTTTTTCAGGCTGAACAGCCCCAACTCTCTCAGCCTGTCCTCATAGGAGAGGTGCTCCAGCCCTCGGATCATCCTGGTGGCCCTTCTCTGGACTTGTTCTAACTGGTCCATGTCTTTCTTATGTTGGGGGCTCCAGAACTGGACGCAGTACTCCAGGTGGGGCCTCACAAGAGAAGAGTAAAACAGCAGGATCAGATTTATCCACAAGCCACACACAAGTGTGTGCTTTGACCTCAGCCAGCAAGATGACATGCCAAGCTATGAGCTCATGTAGTGTGGGCTTGGGATCTGTCCCACAGAGCAGTATCTGAGCACAGCTTCAATCAAAGGGACCACCTGAGGAAGACAGTACGTCTCAGCATGGATAAAGATCGCTCTCAGTCATCCCACAAAAGCCAAAAATAATGAACAAACGATCCACAAAATCTAGCCAGCTCCAGACAAGTTCAAACAAACAAAAACCCCACAACAAACACAGTAGTTGTTTTATTTTTCTTATGGTGTAAAGCAGCTATTTGCATGCTATAACTGGCCTTTTAAATGGGATTTACTCTTGTATAACCCATATAGCACAAAGGAAGCAGAACAATGACAGAGGCTCTGATGTAGACCTTCTTGGATGCCTTCACACGGATAAAATATCACCAGGTGCACACAAAGTTAGTTCAGCAAGCTGCATGTACATGTGACTACACACAGATCCATTGTGTTACATAAATGTTTAAGCATTTCTGATGTTTCCTCTTCCTGTCCTGATCCCATTCCACTCCCCCCTGACATAGGTATTCAACAGACTCTTCCTGTTCGCTCGTCACTACAGCAACTCAGTGAGTAGAGAGATGGAAACATTTTCCTTTCTCACATGAAAGCATGCGAACTTTTCACAACTATGACAAATGTTAAAGTGTAATAGCTGGTATTTGTCTTTGTGCTTCCTACATTCAATGCACTTTCAAAATTAGTTATCGTATTGCCACTCCTAGTAATGAAAATCACAAGGTAGGTACTAAACAATGCATACACTTAAAAGAACCAGCTTAAAAATCCTGTAAATCAATTCAAAATCAAACTCATTTTCCTTTCCTGTGAGATATATTTTATAATTTATGAGCAGAAGGCATCACATCTAACTCTTGCATATTACAGGCTGTCAATTTTCACCTGGTCATCTCAGCTCTGAAGACGACGACTCTCGTTTCATTGCAGTTTAGCATCCAAAAAGGGAACCAGTTTTGAATGAAGACACCAAGGAAAAAATCAGCCTCTCAGTCACTATCACTAAAAGCAAGGCTGATACAAGACAGTACAAGGCCAGTCTGCCTTCAGCGTTGATTAGCACGGGTGAATAGAGAGGGACTGCTGTTGTGACTCTGCACAGTGGCAGCTACAGGGTCAGCACAGAGCTCCTCTCTCCTCCCACAGGCTCCTAGAGCTACAAATTCTTAATTAAACCATTAGGTTTCCTTGGAATTTCCATAACTTGTAGTTTATATTAATTTACACAGATTTCTCCTTTATTTGTTGTTTGAGATACATCTTTTAAAATGTGTGTGCAAGTGTAAAGGCTAGAAAATTACACTTTATGTGTTAATGCTGGACCACTCCACTGAAAGTCAAAAAACAGACTAGCTATGAAACTGGGTAAAAAAGGACAATTTAGGTGACTTCCTACCCTGGACAGACAATATGAAATCTTTTGCTTTACTCATTGTTTCCATTTTATTTCCTTGGTCTGACAAGACCATTGAAGCATGAATGACTTTCCTCTGAAATGCAGTACCCATTTTCTTTCAGAAGTTGATTAATGTTAGCCATATACAGAGAAGAAGGATTAATATCATGTTTGTCATAGTGGCTTTGAATCCTAGAATTATTTTACTAACTTGCAGAGACTGATGAAGTGGTAGCAATTGCCATTTTGTTAAAATAAACTTAAGGATAAGTAATCTATCTTACCTCAAAGGAATATGCTTTTCCAAGCCCATCTCCTGCTCCTGTGACCACTGGAGAAATTAAAAAAAGAAGAATCAAAATCACATTTGTACCCCTGCTTTAGCTTGTTCTTTCTTGAATTCTTTAATCTTCATCAACACTGCAGCCTAAATGCTTCTACTAAAGCACAGGATCAACATTTTTAAAAATTTATTTCCTTATGAATTTTTCATCTTTTTGTTACCTCATTTAGCATATTTTGTCTTCAAAGTAAATCCCTCCCCACAGTAACCTATCATCTGATGCAGCAGGTAGTTATTACTCTCATTTTCAATGAGGAGACGCTCAGCAACAAATCAATTGCTTAAGAGGTGGTAGAATTTTCTTCCGTATACATATTTTTACAAGTTCAGCTTCACAAGTCCTTTACTTCTATGCCAGTGGCAGAATGGTAGGGAATAAGGACTAACTGGTGACCGAAGCTGATACAACACTTTCTCATACAAGAAATCTGTATGTAAGGAAACATCACAGCAAACTTGTCACCATCTACAAAAGATTCTTCCTTCAGAGCTGTCCCATTCATTTTACCTTTAGATTCAGTGTTACTGGGAATGTAAACAAGCTTTGGCATTTATAAAGCAGACTGAACTTTAAATGTTATGCAAACAAATACTAAAGAGGAAATATAGAAAGAAAATCCTTATCACCTTAGAAACAATGAAGAAATAAATAAAGTAGGAAAGCACTAAAGCAATTCCAAGGTAAACCTGCTAAGTTTTACAGCAAAATTGAAAATGAGTCAGTATCTCAAAAGTGTGGGCTAAGAACTTCCAAATTGCAAGAGACACTGGGGAAGCAACGTGATTTTGAATGGTTAGGTTCATTGCCAACAGAAGAGCAATCACTCTCTCATTCCACAGAGAGACCCCTCCGTGAAGCAGCAGCAGATCTTTAGCCCCCTGGAAGGCCTGCAGATGAAAAGCAAGAGTGTGTTGGAAAACAAGCTTCCACCTCCCCACTTTAATTTTCCCGATTCTCAGGATCTCATGTGCCATGTGATACAGCAAAGCATCCAAGCCTTATGAACTTTATTGGGGCAGAAGCCTTTATATTTATAAAAGGTCCACTGAAGGAAACAAGTCTCCTAGCCTTCAGTGGAAACAAGGATCTTCCACAGGAAGTTCCATGTGCTGCTTCCCACCTCATGCACAGATTTGAGGTCCTTGCCTCACTTAAATCAAAATAAGACCTATGTATTAATAGCTTCAGAAGCAGCTGGTCCTCTGCAAAGGAGGTAGCTTTCATTTTGTTTTAATACACTGTTGAGATGTGCTTCCTAAATATGTACTCAATCCACACACATCAAGTCTCTAACACAAGGAAAAGGAACAAAGCACAAGAGTACTGTTCAGGTCACATCTTAACAAGATGCCACCACCAGTGACATCATAGCCCAGGAACTCAGACAGTCTAGTCCTTGTTCATTCTTGCCTAATACTGATTATCTAATGAGCTTAAGAAAAACATCAATGATCAGTAGGAAGGTGTTTATTAAACATTTCTGCTATTTTATGAGAATGCATAATATTTTTTTAAAAGTACTGCCAAGTTGCAGCCTTTGAAGTTTCTAGGCTAGAGTTGATTTGGCTCATTACTGATATCATTAAGGATAGGTCACCAACTCAGAAAAAACAGACTGGAGCAAAGTCACCAGAACAAAGAAAAGTTGCTTTGAAGAGTGGAGACCATATGCTAGACATAAGCTAGTTGCTTCACATATCAGGAAACTGAGGATATAGGCAATGCTATTAAAACTAAAGCATTTGCAGTAGAGAAAAAACATCAGAGTAGGAACGGGGAAAGAATTCACATCTATACACCAGGTGCATGAGCTGTTACCAGTTTGACTTTTTCTGTTCTCCCCAAGTATGAAAAACAGGCTCATAAAACTGAAGTTACTAGGAGAAAACAAACAAACAAAAAAATTAAGCAAACCACACCTAGGGGAAACTGTGCTTTGTTCTGAAGGGACAGGATAAGAAAATGCAAGGTAAATCTCTCCCAATTAGTAATATAACAATCCATCACTCAGTTACAATAAGAAGGTGAGGAAGTTTCCTTTACCTGCCCATTCTCCCAGCGATCGAAAGAAAGTCTGAGGCAAAGCACTCCAGATATGTGGGAAAATATATTTCATAAATCTGATGCATTTTACCAGAGTATAGAAACATATCAGACCCCCACACAGAGCGAGTAGGTGATGCTGGAATGCTTCCATGGCGAGCGAAGGCAGTGACCTAGTATGAACCAGTTGCTTTCTCCCCGGGAAATGCCTCTCTCCAGTACACTGCTAGTCTCCGAGCACTGGCAGAGAAGTGAGAAGTCTAATCAAATCACGTGACTTTCTTTTTCCAAGGAATGTCCAGGGTTTAGATTAGAATAACATCTCTACATTACACCCAGATTTGTAAACTACTGAAAAAAATCCAAACTAAACAATGATTTCTGGTGCTTGTTCTAGAGAAAAGGTTTCACGCCTTTTCTGGAAACTACCCAAGAACAAAAAGAAAAAAAAAAAATATTTTTATTGTCATTGTTTGGGATTCATAGAGGTTAAAGACGGGTCTAAAACAAAACCCTGGATAACAATACTCCAAACCTTGGGGATAATACACATCAGCACTGCTTCTTAACAGTACTGAAGAGTTAAACTCTAGCCCAGACACTTACTGGGTAAGTTCACGTGGAACTCATGCAGAGGCCAGAAAAACAGATTTATCTACAAATTCAAAGACAAAATAATGAACAGTTACTAAAGTCACCTAATTATTTCTATATAGAAGAAACAATATTATATAACTTTTCAAAGAGCTTTCTGTTAATATCATTATGACCATTTTACAAATGGTGTGATTACTGCAGAAGTGCAGTTACCTATTAACAAGGGAACAGGACATCCAGCTTTTCTGAACAAAGTATGCTTGAACTAGTGTTAAAGTAATCAAAAAGTATCAAAGTATCAAAACCTTAAATTTCAAAATTAAATTAAATTCAAAATTAAATTTCAAAAAATATTTACATACAATTACAATTTCTCCAAAGAATCACTCACTATTCATAGAATCATACAATCATAGAATGGTTAGGGGTGGAAGGGACCTTTAAGGGTCATCTAGTTCAACCCCCCTGCAGTGATCAGGGACACCTTCCACTAGACCAGGTTGTCCAGAGTTACACTGTGTTCTTCATATTGCAACAATGACGCTGAATACCTCCTTTAAATGAAAAAGAAACAAAGAAACTTCTATTTGACAATGGAATCAAAATGCAAACTTCCACAGCTGCCAGCCTTTTCTTTTGCACTTCCAGTTCTGCCCACGCCCCCTTGACATTTTCTCTGCCAGGGGCTGATAATGAGTCTGACATATACTTACAGTACTTCAAGGGCCCCATATCTATAAATCAGACTGAGATACTGAGAGGACAAATAATGAATTCTTATGAATGTGAAGAATTGTTCATGCATCCCAGTCTAAGTTTTTTTCCTGAGGTATTGCTTCTCTGACAGGAATCACTGCAAGAACCCTACACGTTGCATGGGTAGAAAGGTTCGCTGGGTGACCACTCCACTTTTTCACTCTTAATCTCATTCCGTTAGAGCTAGCCTGATGCTAAGCAATCCCTATAAAATTAAGAGTATGAACAGATCAAGGTACAGTACAATATTCCTTTCCAATACAGTTACCACTTTAAAGTTTGTTTGTAAATAAACCTTGCCCAGGTGGGTGGGGTTTAAATAAATCCCAAAGAACTTAAAAAGTTTTAAAAACATTGGACTGAGTTCTGAAAATCAAGTTCTGTAGCTAGCAGCATGCAACCACAAGACACTTCTGTGAGGGAATGTGATGTTCAGAAGTCAATTCAGTATTTCTTAAAACTAGCCTACTTAATAATTTTTTTAAATATGTATTATGAAGACTAATGCTTTCTCTAACAATTTTTACCATTCTTCCAAAAGAAAGAAAAAAAATGAGGCCTCACACAACAAGTAATCTAGTTTAACCAGTTTTTTAATATTTTATTAAGCTAATATGAAATCTGTAGAAAAGTAAGGTTAAGACTATCTACAGATATATCCTAAGAAGAATCAGTTTTAAATTACTACTTTGTTAACTGAAAGACACAGTTACTGAGGTTCTGAATGAATTAGCCATTTCTATAATTGCCTGAATTCCAACATGAAAGTTGTGCCTGGTTAGGCCTGGAGTTTCAACCATCAAATTTACTGGAATCAATATTATCTCCACAGATACAGAGGAAAATAGTAAGTGACTGAGGCTGAGCTGCTTTGTGAAAGGATGCAAACAATTGCAAGCTCTTCTACATAATATCTACTTTTGGTTATTCCTAAATTTATATTTTAAATTATTCTGAGTAATACTATCATAAAGACTTTAGGAATCAGGCCTGTATTTTAGGTGAGAAGTCCAAGTCTGAAGGACTTCAAAAACGTAACATGAACAATTAATTAAATAACATAATTTCCACTATAGTACAGAATGAACTAATGAAACTACTCCAAGTACTGCAGAGCAGTTGATCATATAGAAAGCAAGAATTTGTACTATACATGTGGTCTTAAAAACACTGTGGATGTCCATCCACACAAAAACCCAACAAACTTGTTAAAACTACAATCTGCCTCTCTTTATTTATAAAAGGTTCAGCAAAATATTGATAAATTAAATGCATACAGTAGCTGTTCTTTTGTGGGAACTACATCTTGTTTAGCAGGTACCATTATGTGTCCATTCATATTGCAATCAAATGGCGCTTATAATCTTTTCATAATTAATGAAAACCTTCCAATGCCTCATCCCACTGCAGAGAGATGAGGTCCAATAATTAGGATTCTGGAGGTAGAGCTGATCTGGAGAAACAGGAGTCCTATAAAAGAACGTACCCCAAAATATTGATGGCTTTTTAAAGATAAAGGAATTATTTAAAAACATAAGATATCTCTAAAGAAAAGGCAACTCCTTCCCGTCTCAGCTCTTCAATAGGTAGGAAATGAAAGTCACATCTCTTAGCCAGCTGTGAGAAACTGGATAGCCTGGACTTCTCTTTCCGCTTTGACTGTGACCTTAAATTCCACTTCTCATTATCTGCAGTCACTCCTCCTCTTGCCATTCAAATCCACGCAGGCAGTGGGCAGCCCAGTCATTCCCTGAAACTTCTGGTGTGAGGTACTCACCTGCTTTTCAGATCTCATCCACTCTGGTCATTCACATGTTACACATAGAATAATGCTTTACAGATTTAGCTGTATTTTAATTCAAGCAGGAATAAAGCAAGTCATTAGATCACCATGGTTCCTTCTCATTGTCTTCCAAAATCTTATTTTCAATTGATGATTTTAAAAAATCCTGGCTTATGCTTGCAGGGAGTCAAAAACTTCTGCAAGATTAACCAGTCTGCTGTCCTCCAGTGCTGCAGTATTTTTATGGTGTCTTCAAAGATCAACACTGTAACCTCAGAGACACAGGTAAGCATTATCAACTGTATTTTCAGAGAAGGAAATAAAGATACCGAGGAGTGCCATTATTGTCCCAGATGATAACCCAAACAATCAGATTCCAGAGCTTTTTTAACCACTGGCTCAGCCTTGCCCACTGTAGCAACACCTTGGGCTTGTTATGATTCCTTATTCTGAATTTTAAGCATGAACTAACACCAGATGAGCTTTCACTGCATATGTAAGACCCAACAAGACACTGATCCAGTCTCCTCATTTAAACACATTAGTCTTCCATACACCAATCAGCCTCTCCTCTTGTAGTTTGCTTATAGTAGCATTGTTTCTCTGCAGTATTAAAAGGTAATTCTAGACAAAACATTGAGGAGGGGGACTGTGATATAAAAAGACACAGGGACCTAAACAAAAATAGATTTACCTTTGTTATCTCTCCTAATTACCTGTTTGGTAATTAGTCTCACACACAAAAAAATTATTTTTAAATATAAAAAAAATATTTTCTCATTTTCCTTCTCTCCTTGATCCTGCAGCAGAGTTATGAGGGTTCACTTACAACAGTGACAATTGCTGCAGAACACCACAATGTTATTGCAGATGAGGAAAAGATTGAGAGAGAATGTCTGCACAATGCATACTGAACACACTAGGCCACATCCTGAATTCTTCAGTCAACACTTACACAGGGAACAATCTTGGGGCACATCTCCTCTTTGCACCAGACTTTCTACAATCACTTACACAAGAGCAAATGCATACGTGAAATCATTCTGAATCACTAGCATCTTTCATCTCTGCACTGATATCAAAGATTGTATATGGCATAAGGCAACAGTGAATCAAGTCTCATGATCTTTACAGGCAGTTATCCCCCACAGAGTACCAGCAAACGCTGAAACAGAACAAACAGCACCAAAGCACAGGTAAACAAAAGCTAAAATTAAACTTGTTCATGTGTAAAAATCATGGTGTGCAAGAATATTTCTGAACCAATGAATTGTGTGCACATCTGTGGCAACTGAGGTAGATTTTTTTCCTTGTTCCAAATACGTTCTAGCATATACTATAGCATATATAGTTCTCAGCAATGCTAAACAAACTTCTATCTTCAGTCTCTTTCAAGGCAGGCATTTCGGCTAACTCTTTGATTCAGGAAGCGCATTCTCTTCATCCTCAGGTTGCATAGGTTTGCTGTTTCCTCTTAAGGTTAAAAATGAGTATCTCAGTCCTCCTGCCATACTAAAGAAAAGAGAATTAATAGAGGGTGTCAGAGACACCTGATGTTGCATATAGCATTTTACAGGTATGCATCTTTCCTTCCAAAGGATTAAAGAATGACAGCTACTGTAAATTAGTAGTCCCTTAGAGCTATGTAAGCCATGTGAGAAATGAGCTCTGAGCAGACAAAGATCAATTATCAGTTCCCCCAACAGATTCATACAAACAGACATAATAGTTCATCCAAACACAAAAAGTAAAAACTCACAAGTCATAACTCACATTCAATGGGCACAACTCATTCAATTAGTATTCTCACTTCCCACACCACTTGATTTTTACTTGAAACCCTTGCAGCTCAGAAATGCTGCTCATAAAAAAAGAATGAACTCAGCCCCACATAGTAAGACTACAGATACGCTTCCATAGTTAAGATCTTACAACAGTTAAGATGCATTATCTGAAAACGGACGTAACTAATTGTAATGAACTTCACATCCTGAGGCAGTGCATCCTCAGGCCAGTAGTTTCAAAACTGCATCACCCAAGTG